CCAATCAATGTAATTACGGTCATGACAAATGCAGAGATGTGGGTAAGTAGATTTATATAATTACGTTTAGAATTTAAATTAAATATAAAATTTATTATTCTATCTGTTAGCAAATAATGCATGTCATTACAGACAGATTTCGAGTTGGTCAGAACATAGCCAAATATTCCACTACGGGCATACCGCCCAGTTTGTCAGAAATGATTGAAAACCAATGGTACGATGAAGCAGCTAAGTTTGATAAAAATCTAGTGGACTTATATAAGTAAGTATCTTTAATACTTATCCATATATTTTAAATATATATTTTAACATATGTTTAATCATATATATGCGGGGCATTCTCTCTGTCATCAAAAGGGCCACTCTTCCTGTCCACTACAATTTGTTAGATAAAATATTTAAAAAGGTCTTAAAATTTTCGTTGAAGTGTCTACTTTTTTATGCCGTATGGCCTTTTTAAAAATTCAAGATTGCGAATCCAGAATTGCGATTAGCATGGATTGTCGTCAAAAAATGTTTGAAGCTAACTTTAATTATTGAAGCACAGGGGGCTAGGAAATTTTTCTATTTTCATAAATTAAGGTTTTGGGGGTCACTGAATACGAATTTGTCAAAAATTGATTTTACCATTATTTCTTCCTCTTCAGACAATACAACTTTTGTCTGTAGTATTTTTCGTTATGATGCGTACTTTCAGAGATAATAGTTTATAACACTTTAAATGCCTCTGTTTCTATATATATTTAAAAAATTATTTTTTGTAAATAATATGACAATAGTATTAATTTAAATTAATAAATTATTTCAAAGTGCATATAATAGATTTTTTAATGAAACTAATAAACAATTTATTTATAGATTTGATTTGGCTACAGGCCATTATTCCCAAATTGTCTGGGCTGACACGACGAAAATTGGTTGCGGACTAGCAAAGTATAAAGAAGATAATTGGACTGTGTTTTACTTAGTTTGCAACTATGGTCCAAGTGGAAATTTTCCGGGTCGGAAAGTATATCAAAGTAAATAAATCTAACTGACAAATAATGGAAATAAAATTTTAAAAAGCAGCACAGAAATATGGAAAATGCACAACGATATATTTTATCGCTAAAACTATATAGTTTTAATTCTTATAATAATGTCAATAAAGAGACATATAATATTCTTTTCTTTCTTTCCTCTGTTTTCTTTCTCTTCATATCTGTTGACAACAAGATTTTCAATAACTATTAAATGTAATGCCTTTTAATATCAAGCAAATATAACAATACATATAATTTCTGTTGTTACAATGTATTTAATAATAAAAATATGCAATGAATAAATAAATGAGTTTTCTTTAATTCTTGAGGTACATATTTTAATATACGTATTATACACATTTGTTGTATTATGTAAAGCAACAATACCTTTTATTATTAGTCCTATTATTCTGTTCAAGAATAATTATTAAAATAAAATAATTGACAAAGAATATATAAAATATTTTATATTTTATATCAAAATATATATTAAAATTTCTTTTGTTTATAAATACTTTCTCTGCAATTGTTAAATATGTTAACATAACTTAAAACATAACATAATAATTGTATAATTTTTGCCGTTATAATAAATCTAGAAGTCATGAAGATTTAAAATAAACAAAACAAAGTCAATTTGATTAGCTTTTAAAAGTTCTCATCTTTTGACTGTAGAATATTATTGTTGGTTATTTTCATGTTTTATATAATTTCTTATTCCCAAGTATGTGTTTTTTACTTTTTACTATATTTGCTATTACACTTTATTATTAATCTTAATACACACTATCAAAATATGCAATGATAGTTGCTCACAAAGTAGCACGTAGCGAACCAATCATCCTCGCAGAAAAGAGGATCAAACATTTCAATATATGTATATACATCTATCGATTTCACATACATACGTGTACGCGACATGCCCTTTTTAAAATGAATTAGAATCATCTTATATCTATGTATAAGAAACTTTAAAATATTAAATATTTTGAAATTTCAAACAATTTTATAAAAAAACTGCTGTATTATCCGATAGAAGACATATTATAATTTGTATTTATGTTTTCATAATTTTACTTTGATGATATTAATAAGGAGAAATAAAAAAATTATCCTTCAATTTGTTAATTGTTAGATACATATATCATATAGTTAAGGTGAGAAAAATATATTCTACGAAATATATACTGATATGATTTATTGCAAACATTTTTTGGATGTTTATAAATACAGTAGCATTTAAAAATTACATAAAAAAATGATTGATATTCTCTGACACATCCTTCATCGAAATTTTATACTTTCATGTTTTTAAATATTATTCTTTTTACTATATACTTGTGGCTTTAGTACGTAAAAATTTTAACGCATTTGTTCTCTCATGTTGTAAGAGAAATAATTTGAAAGAAATAACAGAAAGATAAAGTGACCTCTTATTTGATAAGAATACAATTATATAGCACATTTTGAAAATATCAGGAAAATTAAAAAAATTATATTTACGCATTTCGAAATACGTTTCACAACAAGAGAGGATAAATATGTATGACGATGATAGCCTTGCATACTTCGTACAAGGACAATATTTTGCAATGGTTTTTCTGTTTTTTAATTTTTAAAGAATTCCGTTTTCAGATATCGACTGACATATACTGTGAATCGATTTACCACATTTAGACTTATAATATAACACTATTGTTAATTTCTTAATGTTGCGGAATTTGGAGACGTGTCAGTTTAAATCAAGCTTTAAACGGTCATTTTGATATCACGCAATTCGCTTCAACTTGAGTGTATTTTATTACTTGATCTCCACTTGATGCGTAACAGAATTACATGACTTTGTTTTTAGTTTATATAACTTTTTATTATTATTTATTAATTATATTATATAATGTATATACTGACTACGTAAACATTAACGTTAATTTAATTGAACTGCGTTTGAGAAAAATCGAGAAAGGTTCGAAACTAGTTTTGCTATAATGTTACAAAATTAATTGAAACATATTTATTTAATTTCATTTTTACATCTTTATGTGCTCGTCTTTAACTTATCTCGTGTATCGGCCGTTGTTTATCAAATAAGAGAACGGACTTTATTATTTGATAAAATAATAATAATAATTTTTAATAATATTAAAAATAAAATACTTGAAGTTATTTCGATTATTTACAATAATTCTAATAAAAATTAAATATGCTTTTAAGAACATTGTAGGTAACACAAAAATATAAAAAAGATAAAAAATGAAAAAACAAATGACAAAATGTATAAAAGTTACATTAAGACTGCGTTCCGATATTTAATGCCAGTGCTGAAAATCTATAATGCACATAACGAATATTATATAGAGTTTCAGTACTTGCAGTGAATGTCGGAACGCAACCTAAAATATTTAATGATAAGAGTTAATGATGTCGATAATGTTAATGATAACATTTTTTAGTGATAACACATAGTACGTAAATTAGAACCGCTCTCTATGTAAAGCAGCATTTTTCAAAGAAAAATCAAGAAGAAGTTCTATAGTTAAAAATATATAAAAAAATATATCATGACAATAATTTCCCTATATTGTATTTTGCCATAATAGCAAAAGTACATATTTGCAACTACGACAGATTATTACAATGTACATAATCGTATTGAGATGTTGATGAAAGTAAACGTAAGAAATCATACAATGTGCAAGTATATTGTATGTAGGATTAGTTGCATGTATATTTTATATACCATATGTATATGCATCGTACATATACATATATAAAAACAGTATTATTTCCTTCTCTTTCTCTTCTTAACTTACAAAAAGTATGTAAGTAATATAAAATTATATCAAAAATTATATTATTTTTCCTTTTCTTCTTTTATAAATATTATTGTTGAGATAATAAAGCTATTAATTGTACATATTAAGAATATATTTAGCTAATTCTAGAAATTATTCCACTCCAAAACTAGCGACGGCGGAGATACATTTATTTTACTTATATACTTATTTTACTTATGATAATAGAATTATAATATTAAATAAACATAAACTAAGACAAAGAGTCGCATCAGACCAGGAAACTAGAAGAAATCCAGGTCCATAACCTACGGCCGTTAGCATGCTAAACTTGGTAGGAGAGACGGGGCTGCAGGTTGTGCTCACAGTTTTTGATTAGTGATTTAAAAAAAAAAGTGGATGCAAGATTTTGAAATATTATGTACATCATAATATACCTACATCCCTTAGCTATAAAAAAAAATATTTTGAAATATGATATTGTACAAATAAGTTATCTAGTTTTAAGTAAAACCGTGAAAATGTGGCAATCATTCCCATACCCGGGGTTGATTGTCACACGTTCCAGGATTGGTTGTCTTATATTTTTATATGGCTAAATGTACAAAAAATAATGTTTTTATTTTAATATTAGTATTATATTTTAAGAAATAGGAATAATTATTGTATTTAAAACAAGAAAAAACCTTTTCTAAATTTTTATAAAAGAGCTCAACATTAGTTTTATTAAAACTCGTCGCTCTTGTCTTACTTGTTGCTTCTGGTTTTCGAATTGAAAGTTAATTGTAACGTTTTATAAATGCTGTAAACCAATCTTCTTCTGCTATTTTATTTTAATCCAAGACGGAGGCATCTGAATTGAGTTCCAACGGGCTAGACTATAAGCTAAAGTTCTGATTTCCTATAGGCGTGCGGGAGAGGCGACCGTGATCCGCAGCGAGCGGACTATCTCGCCGCGCGTTCAAATTCGACGTGTTTTATATATTAATATCTCGCAAACTATTGCGAAAATCGCAAAATGGTAGAGGACTTTTTTGTTCAGCTTGGTCCACTCTACCTGCCCACGAGCGCTGTACCGTTAAGTAGCGGATACCTTTTATAATACAATGTATATATATATATACATATACATATATACATATATATTTTTTAAGAATTAATTGCTTGTAAATAATATTATAATAATATATATTGATTCAAACAACTAGAGTACTTCAAAATTATATTACATTTATAACATATTTTCTAATAAGACTTATAAATAATTTATTTATAGATTTGACTTCTTCTCGACAACAGACGACTATACTCAAATGGTCTGAGCTAATCGACTAAAATCGGTTGCGGACTAATAGAGTTTATGTCAACAAATGACAAGCCCAAAAGATGAAAGTATTGTACTAACTGTTAGTTTGCAATTATGGTCCAAAAGGAAATCGGGATGGTCAACCAATATATTAAAGAAAATAAATACTAAAGTAAATCGAACGATAAGTAAATGTAAACTAAAAAATAGCAGCACAGAAACCTATGCAAAATAAACACAAAGCTGCGATATATAGGATGTCCGGTATTAAATAGTAAAGCGCTCGTGGATAGGTAGAGCAGACTAAATTGAGTCAAAAAGTCTTCTACCATTTTGCAATTTTCTTAATAATTTACGAGGAATTAATTACTAAATTAATATTGTTAATTACTAATATCGCCAAAGCGATGTAATATAAGCGCGACCCTAATGTAATTGCGTGGCGAGACGCGACCGCCCAGCGCTCGATGTTGTTAGGAAACCGGAGACTTGTTTATTAAAAGCGACTAATTAGTGATTATTTTTTCATAATTTGTTATTTCAATTTGCCACAATTTTTTATTTTAATTAGGTGTATATTTTTTTTAATAAGTAATAAACAGCCATGTAAGTGTTATTAATCAATATATTCTGCACACATGCAAGCATGAAATTTCATACCTCGGATACTGTACCCTTTATAAAATTTTTTTTAAATAATTAGCTTTTTATAATTAATTTTTTTAACTACGCAAGCGATCAAAAAGTTTCTTCTGCATTGATCATTGTTTCGAAATTTCACAATTAATTATTTTTTTATCTGTTCTTGAATTGTTTATAATAACATATCAATGTGACAATTGTACATGTGTATTGTGTCAATGTGGCTTCTATCAATACGCTCTTTTTTCCGCGTGTTACATAATTCCAATTATAAAATTGAATGTCAAATGTGACTTGTGCACAGTTGTGCACATAAAAATGCTTGCAGATATGTACAGAAACTTTCTATTGTTATGTACATATGTTTATTAAGACTTTTCAATAAAACGTTTCTCAAAAATATTTGTTTCTTCTTTAATGTATTCTATTGCCATTTATTCTGAAAATACCAAATTTAAAACATATCCGTATATTGTAAATTTTTTAATTATGATATTAATGTTGTAATATTTGAAAATTTCTTAAGATATACCGTTGTTTATATAAAATATTGTACATATGTCAATA